TATGACAATACATTTTCATAATACATCTCTTTGATTTTTTCTGCTCAGTGTTATTTCAGGGTTTTGATCTCTCAACTGAGAGATCACATCCTGTTTATTGTATTATAGTGACTATTTAATATTACATCTAAACTTTGACTAGGCTAGACATGTTGCCTATTAATTGTATACAGTATATGAACCTGAAAGCATATTTGAATTTTTGTGTTACTCCATAATAATGTTCTAGTTGAGGGCATTTGTAGTATAGGTATGGGGCCCAAACATAACCTCAAGCCCAGGGGCCCCCGGCCCCGTAAGTCCTGCCCTGCTTATGACCAGCCTTAGCCACTATAAGGTCACTGAGAACATGGTCCACAATAGTGGCCCTTATTTCATGGGAAATATGCTTACATTCTTGGCCTTTTCTACCTCTTCCAGTGTTTTGCCTCCCTACCCTCCCACCATGCATCCTTACTCCTCTACTTCTGTTTGTTTCCTTGTTATTCAATTGAAGGAAATCGTATCATTGTGTTGTGCTCTGTCTATTTATGCTTGCCAATCGAACATTATTGTGATGTACCCCTCACTTTACATCCCCCTTCATTAGTGAAATTCAAGATTCACCTGCAAAAACAACTGAAAAAAACTGTAATGGAAAACTGAGTGAGGTTGTGGTGAGGCACAATATTAAATCATGAGGTGTATCCTTCTCTTCCTTCAATCACCCACAATCCTTTTCACATATTCAAATTCACGAAAAAATAATTAGCCGAAAATAAAACGAAACTGAACTTGTACAATTTCATTAAGTAATGCAAGACAAAAAAAAAGGAGATTAGAGCATTAAACCATCTCATTTTAATGTTTAATGCTGAGAAGGACTCTAGCCTTGAAGCCTCAGAAGGACTGGACTAGGAAGGATGCATCCCTACTAGGATGCAGCCTTTTATGTAAGAAGCACTTGTGGTGCTGCCGGTGTGCATACGGTCATAGAAAACAATGTGTTTGGATTTTAAAGATGTGGCATTTCTCTCACCGTGCGATCTTCTTTACGCTTTGTTTTGCTAACATTTGAGTTTCCTTTTAGGGGAAGGGTTCTGATAGCAATGCCATGCAAAATGCAAATAGAAAAATAAAATAATTTAGAAAATAATTTCTGAATCATAACCCACCAAACTGGCTATAGTGTTGGTATGTGTTACCCACCACGGTCGATTTTCACCTGCATTTGGTGGGTTGCCAGGTGTTAATTTCAAATCCTTCTTACATTCAGTGTATATGGTTGCCACAAGTGGCACAATTTGGAAAAAGAATTGAGAACCTTAAGAATTGAGAAATGAGTCTTGGCGATTGTGAAAAACCGGGTGTGCACTGTCCTGCCCGCGCCACCTCCTCATTACAGTTTAGGCTGCTTTTTGTATGCACCACAGAATATTTGTATAACCAGACTGTCCATGAAAGATCTTTATTTGCTAGAAGCCAGAACAGTTGAAGTTAGTCAGATCACAAAATAAAATGTGCACTAGCTGCTAAAATGTTGGCCCAGCCATTTTTCTTGTTTTATTATCAATTTTCCTCCAAGACAAGAACTCGATACTTTCTTATTGCAGTTACACACCAGCCAAGTGAAACAAACTTTTACTTAAAGGTATATCTAATTTTAATCACTATGCTGCTTTAATACCCATACACATAGTCTCCATATACAAACTATTTTCCTTTTAAGCAGCACTTCAATATATGAAAACAAACAACTGCTGATTAGGGTAGGTAAAGATTAGAAGGGAACCATGCCTACATTGTAATCATTTCTGTAATTCTCTCAAAAATTGCATAGGTTATATACCCGCGGTGTGTTCAGCTTCAGCAAATCCATGTAAGACAACAACAAAAACAATAGATGACAAAACACTTAAATCTCATAATCATTACTGGAAGGTGATTAGGTATTCTGGATAAGCCTGTACATCATTGAAGATCACAAACATGGTTGGGTTTCTCATGTTGTCAGTCACACTGTTATAGAGATCAGCACTATTGGAGCTCCTCGCAGGGGGAACAGGAAGGCCTCTTTTTCCTTGAGTGAAATCGCCAACAAGCACCCTGACAAGGTACATGCGTTTGTGTCCTTTGGCATCAGGTGCAGAGTAGCCTTGGGCTGAGTAACTTGGGTCCACAGCAAAATATGTTCCATTCCCATACATGGCTCCTAAAAACAGAACAAGAGCAATAGACTATTGATTTAAAAGACAAATGGATACAAGTGCAAATAAAGTTTATATTGAATTTGACTGATACCATGCATGCCAGCGAAGCTGCGATTGAAGCCGTGATTGTTGATCTGATCTGTCTTATCAGGGCCAGTGCCGTGGAAGAGACGCTTTTCATTGTTTTTGTGCTTGTTTTTGTCTTCCAGTTCCTCCTTTTTTATCATGTAGTTTTTCCAAAGTGCGTTGTTCTGAACTCTTTCAATCTACAAGCAAAAATAAATATTTAGTTTAGGCAAACATTAGATTTACAACATACTGTAGTACTAAAAAGCAACACCAGAACCTGTCGAAACTAATAAATAGGAGATTTATCTTCAGTCTAGTCTTACTTCAGTTATTTTAGAGTTTAGATTGGTTCTCCTGAACTCCTTCTCCACTTCTGCATATTCCTTTGAGCCTGCTGTGAGTTTTACAAGAACAACTGCCTGTCCTTTCATGTCCTTCCAGTGTGAAGGCAAAGGGCTTTGAGCAGCAGCTGCAGCTGCAACTATTGACAAAAAGAACAAAAAACATGAATAACTAATGTTGGAACATTATCTATGTTATCTGAATTATAAAATAATCTCACCTTGCAGATCTACTCTGTTCAGTTCAATCCTTATTCCTCTTCTTGTGGCCTCATTGCGAGCTAAATTAGCCTCATATTCATCATTATTAATCTTGATTCTCACTGTAGGCTGTCTCTTCTGAAAGGCCTGTTCCAGCTCATAATTGGTCAACATATCAAAGGTTTTGGGGCTGCGTCCATTCTCCTGATATTGCCAACTAACTACACTGCTGATTAAAAACGCGTCACTTCTTCGGATTTCATTCCTTTCCACCTTTCTGATCATGTCCCGAATGCGACTGTCTGCAATCTGAATGTCTCTTGTCAGGCCCTCCAGTGTGATGACAGAGTCTTGGCCTTTCTTCTCAAGCCGGACACTGACTGTGAGCTCTCTCTGCATGGCATTCAGTGTTTCTACATCCTCCCTAGTGAAATGAGCAATGGCTGGATCATGGATTGGGATGGTCACATGCTCCCGTAATATCAAACTGTTGACCATGTCCCTGGCTTCACTCAGGTCCTTTGGTGTCTCACCACACAGTTGAAACACAACTGGCTCAATTTCTTCACCGACCATCACAAACTCTTCATTTTTGGGAGATTCTGAACTTTCCCCCCAAAGTAAATGATGAACAGTATCTTGATGAAAAGAAACGGAGGGAAGAATTACTTTATTTTAAAAAAGAAGAATGGATGGTATTAGCATACATTTTATAATTCTCTACTGACCTTTAATATTGGTAAGCAGACCTTTATCCTCCTCTACTTTCTCACCAGATCTTCTGACCATGCTTTGGTGGAAGTCTGCCACCATGTTTGTCTGGAATATAAGAAATTTCACAAACTTTACATGCACTGGTTTCTTTTTCTTTACAAAGTTGACAACTGCATCAACCATTGCATCTGCAACATCAGCTGGATTTGCACCACCCTGACCTAAAGAGTTAGAAAAAACAAGCAAACCAAAAAAATTAGTGAATAATTTCACAAAACATATAAGTAAAAAAGGTTTAATTAAATGTACAATAAGTAAATAAGCAAAATTCAGTATTTGAAAAAAAAATGGATGGAATTATCATACTTTTTTTAAATTCTTTACTGATCTTTAGAAAGAAAAGAGGGATCAATTATTGTTTATTAAACTTATTCAGATAAATAGATGAAAATAGCATTTATATTTCTTCACTGACCTTTAATTTTGGTAAGCACACTTTGATCCTCCTCTACTTTCTCACCAGATCTTCTGACCATGCTTTGGTGGAAGTCTGCCACCATGTTTCTCTGGAATATAAGAAATTTCACAAACTTTACATGCACTGGTTTCTTTTTCTTTACAAAGTCGACAACTGCATCAACCATTGCATCTGCAACATCAGCTGGATTTGCACCACCCTGACCTAAAGAGTTAGAAAAAACAAGCAAACCAAAAAAATTACTGAATAATTTCACAAAACATATAAGTAAAAAAAGGTTTAATTAAATGTACAATAAGTAAATAAGCAAAATTCTTATTGCAATTACGTAAAACGTAAAATCATACAAAATGTCTTACTAGTGCCAAGAGCTGGGAAAGCAACAGAAGTAATCTGGCTTGACTCGCATAGCTTCAGAACAGACAAAACAACATCCTTAATTTCAGATGGACTATTGCGTCCAATAACATGGATGATGTTTCCACATGGAAGCCGCCCGGCTGAAGTCACAATCTCTGTTTGCTGCATGTTTGATGATCCCACTATTGGCAAAAAATGTTTACCAGTAGCATCTAAAGTTTATTAGATCTCTCTTAAAGTATAAGTCAAAAAGTCATGAATTCAAAAAAGGTAATGACCAACAACAAGATGTAAATCTAAAGGAATACAAACCAATCTGTGAACATTCTTGTACCACTTGTACTCCAGCTGCATCTAAAATGGCCTTGGATACTCCTGGATTACAAAGAGAAATTAACTGTTACATTATGATTGTCTTCGAATGTGAATTAATTATAAATGATTCACTGAAACAGGTAAGACAGTGAGCGTGAAGATGGATTAACCTGCTTTCAGAGAAAATGTCTGATTTGAGGAGTTGACAATGGCATCGGTTTTTTCTTTAGTTATGTCTCCTGATGAAACCTCCAGAGTCACTTGACCCAGCTGCATAGTGTGCACCCCGAGAGAGGGAGAGGAGACTTTGCCAATGACCTCTAAAGATAAGAAAATAATATGTTCATAATGAAGTTCAAAAGAAAAATAAGTGTGATGGACATCAGATAAGAAAGTTTTACCAGATGTCTGAGCTGATTTGCTAGAAATATTCATTTTAGGCATGACATGTGCTCCTTTTGTGATGGGACCCTGAATCCCTTGTCTAAAGACGCTGGTAAAGCACTAATAGATAAAGCACATAAATATACAAGATAACATTAACATGAGCAACTATGTTAAATTATTTAAATAGTTTATAGTTCAAACAATAAAAGTACATATATTGCTCATACTGTATGTGATGGGAAAACTCAACTTTGTTTTTATGGTTCTTGAATCAAGTTTTCACACTCACCTCTACACTCTCCTTGTCAGAAGGGTGCACAATCACAGTTACCTCTCGAAGGTTTGTAGGCTTATATTTCTGGACTTCTGTCAGCATGATTCTGGCCACCAGATCTTTAGGAAAGCCAAGATTCCCCGTCCCGATAGCTGGGAAGACGACTGAAGCCATTTTCCACTTTTCTGCTTTTTTCAGGCAATATCTAATGATCTGAATGAGCACCTATTAAAATGTAAATAAATGTATCTATTATAATCTTTAAAGAAAGTACCATTTGAATAAATAAATTAAGCACATTTGCAATATCATTTAATCCTAAACACAGCCAGCTGTAACTGTTAATGATGATTTTGTTAAAATTCAATTAGGAAATTGTTTTTCTCACCTTATCTTCTGAGCCTTGTCTCCAAAATGGGCAAACTACATGGAAGACTTTTTGACATTTCAGTTTATAACCATTTGTGATGACCACTTCACCATAATTCACACTGTTTGAGCGAGCAGCTGTGTTGATTTCTGACTGGAGCTGATAACCAGCAGTCTGAAGGAGTGCTTTGGAAATGGCACCTTTACTGAGGTCCAAGTCCTCTGATATAGTGTTTACAATGACATCAGCCTGCAGGAGAAACAAAGGAGACACTTCTGTTGAAGGATTTGGTCACCGTTGATTATAATAAAAACTGTATAAAATGCTTCACTTTGATCAGACTTGAATGCAGGTACAGCAAAAGCACATTAGAAAGAAAATAGTTAATAAAATAAATTCACTGCACAAAAATCTTGTCTAACAAAATTTACTTGAGATGCAACACAGCATGAAATTAAGCAAGGGTGTAGCTTGCAGGGTGGGGGATTCAGTAAGAAAGCATGTGGTACACTTGAATATGGCACACAGAATGTGACTGACCAAATCGACTGTCTCAGTTTTAACTTTTAACTTCTTTAATTATAACTAAAAAAACTTTTTTTAAGGATTTTTAGATATTTTTACAGGAAAACAAGCTGTGATTTTTCTGTCAGCTTTTTATAATTAACGATTCACTTACACTGGCATCCTGGATGTTCCCTTTGCTCAGAATGATTTTTAGTCCCTATTGTGTAGTTTTCCTCTCAAGTACAATTAACCCTTCAAATTTATCTGATCTGCCACCGTAGTTTGAGGTTTCTCTTCTCCAGTGTTCTTGTCCCTCAAAGTCTCTATTACCATGGCTTTTGGGATCTTCAAACTCTTGGTTTCTTTGGCCATAGTTTTCATGGCCATGACCACGACCACGGCCATTTTCACGATAGCCATGCCCATAGTTACTATGCCCATGGGGTTTGGTTTGATGAGAGAAAGTCATTTTGGTATTATAAGCAGCAAACTCTTTACTGACAGCTTGAGTCATGGCATTCACAGTGCTGCCATTATTGTCAACCAAGTGAATTTCAGTTAAGGTGCGATTAGAGGCTCTGTTGTTGTGATCTTCAATGTACTCATGCACCTCCTTGGCAATTGATTCAGTGCAAAGGTCGAGAGGACAACCAAATATCCCTGAGCTAATAACTGGAATTGCAATGGAGGAGCAGTTTCTGCTTGACGCCTGGTTCAGACTTTCCCTCACAGCATGTCTCAGGTGTTGAACAGTGGTACGTCTGTCTGAATCACTGAAACGAGGTCCAACAGCGTGCACTACATATTTACAGGGAAGACGACCAGCAGCAGTGATGATGGCATCTCCAGGATTCAAAGGTCCATTTGCTTTTGTGTGTAGGTCACAGTTTTGCTGCAGACTTGGTCCAGCAGCTTCGAGAAGTGCTAAAGCTAAACCACCAATGTGCTTCAGATCTTCATTAGCAGCATTGACCACAGCATCAACATGGAGCTTGCAAATGTCTGCCTTCCTGACAGTAACAGTTACTCCACCTGGCATTCGAACCTCACACGAGATCTGGCCAATATCTTCAAAACTACCTACAGCAAATTGATCTTCCTTCTCTTCCAGCATGTCATCTTCCTGAAGAACAACCACAAATATTTTTTCCTTCAACAGCACTGAGACCATCATTTTACTCTGCTCCATGAAGTACTTCTTTGCTCCTGCCTTTTTAATGATCAGTGTGTCTGTGTAGAGACCATCTGCCAATGTTTTAAAGAGAGTCATAGCTGGCTGAACACATGTACGCTTTCCAGACAGTTTGATCCTGGGTCTGTTTGGATCAAAATTGACTTTCACTTCATCAGACTTAATAAAATGCTGCCAGTCTTGTGATTTTCTAACTTTTATGAATTCAACCGCTGCATGTGATTTGACACGAATGGTTTCTTCAATTCTAGTGTGTTTCTCAATTAAACATCCTAAATTCTCACTGACCTCCATCACTGGTTCGCTGAATCCAGTCACTATTACTTTTTCTCTCTGCGAAAGGTTTATAGACACAAATCTCTTTTTTTCCAGTTGTTTTTTGAGTTCCAGCCACTCTGGCATTTGAAGGACACCCTGGTCTTCTATAGTGAGGTATTTGGTTGTGAAGACTGTATTCACCCTTTTCTCTGCCTCAGCAAGTGCTCTTTCTGTGCTCCCAATCACAACAACATCTCCATTTTCGATTGTGTAGACAGCAGTTATTCCATGAGATATGAAGAGCTCTCTGGACATTTCATCACAATCCTCTGATCTCAGAAACTCCACGACTGAACTGTCAATCTGTAAGCGCTTCTGTTTCATATTTATTTTCTTCTCAAGGACCCAATTTTTGAAGTCAAGAGTTTCTGTATAAAGACCTGATAAAATTAGTCTGTTCATTGTTTTGTTGTAGTCAGTGTGCAGGTCTGGAGAAACAGCATTTTGCAGGCCATCTTGTTCAAGCAGAGTGTACACAGAAGGAGGAATTTCCATGTACTCTGTCACACTGTTCTTCTCTCTTTCCATTTGATTTGTTGCTCTCTCTAAAATTTTCTCCATGATGGGTTTCAGTCCAGTTATCTCAAGGGTCACTCCTGCCAGTGTCAGCACTCCTCTAGAGGCATCCATATCTGTGAAAACCTGATTTTTTACTTCTTTCTTAATATCACTCTCCACTTTAGTCCACAAGGCATGTGACACC